CATCATAATGTAAATATGAGGTTTACAGTAAGGGGAGTGCACACATTTAGATATGAAGTTGCAGTGTTTAAATATTTGATGAATATGAGGCAAAAAACCGAACCGTGAAAGATTTACTGAAAATAACCCAGAATAGAACGACATCTTGAATTTTTTTTTAAAACGAGTTTTTCTGAAAATAGGTTTTGTGCATTCAGTCTGACAACCTGAAGGAGGAAACAATATTGATTTAGTCGAACGTGATTTCATAGCTGAGCAGCTGATGTGATGTATCAAGAATTAGCATCTCTCGCCATCTGTTACACGGCTAGTGTACGTTACATTAGCGTTACACTACAGTGGCTCTGTCACCAGGACTGATCTGAGTCAATTATTCAAAAAGATCAAACTGTGCAGTCACCTCAGCAGCACGGAGCTGGGTAAACATTATTCAGACGAACACTGTGTGCAGGACGAGGCGTCCGTATGGGCTGTGAACTGTGTGCAGGCCGGCGTGGGTCTAATGAACCCTGTGAATATGCAGTCCTGTATATGGACTGCACTCACACGTTCCACACACTCTCACATTCAAGTTGACGCTGTTTATGAAATCAGGTTTAAATGAATGTCTGAGGTAGAGGCTCTCACGGCAGACGCTGCTTTACTGTTCATGTTGTGACGTGAATTTGTCTCTCAAAATAAAATAAGATAAAATAAAATAAAATATGTCTTGGATTGTGTGTGGAAAATTAGTAAATTCTAAACCTTTGTACAAATGTTAGCTCTCTGCTAATGCATTTAAAAAAAATAAATTAAATGACACAATGTTTCTGTTTGGCTGCATTTAGCTTTAAGGCTACTAACAACATTTTCTGAGCCAGATTTTTTTCAAATTATTTTCTAGTTTCTTCTAGACTTTTTTTTTTACACTATCTGACCTGTAATTTAAATAAAAAACTCTATCAAAAGCATGACTTCCTTTCTTTAAAACCCCTAAAAAACTAAACTCAGGGTGTGCACTGACAGATGACAGACATTGTCAGATTAAGGCTGTGTGATTTTGACATTAACGTTGAAACGCATTGGCCAATAGGACGCCGCTTCTCCTGTGTAAATCTAACCAATCAGGGCGCAGCTCATGTGTCTCCCTGTCTGTATCTCCGCCTGCATCTGAATGGGTTTGTTTTGTGCGCCCATGTGACCACGGTAGCACTTTGTGCGCTTCAGGAATCATCATCTTCATCATCTTCATCACCAGCAGCAGCAGCAGCAGCAGCAGCGTCATCAGCCAGCGGGTGCTGAAGTGGACAGCTCCTCATACACAAACCGAAACCAAAACACAGGCTCGCATGTCTGGCATGTGGACGCTCTGGAGCCATTTCTCCTACTTGACTCTGATCTCCATTTTTTCCCTCCTCCTGACAAACATTGTCATCAGTGAGACGCCGATCTGAGCAGAGAGTCGCCGCTTGTCCAGGTAGATGTTCTGACACCTGTGGCTGGATTCAGACACACACAAAAACCAACAACATTTGTTTGGATCTCTTTGAAGTCCATTCGCATGCTGATGCAGGAGAGGTCGCTCCAGCAGTGCAGTTTGATCTGAGTGCTGAAGCTCGGAGGTAAAGCCGTTTACGGCCGCATTAATTTCTAAGCTGCTCTGGGCGCCTGCCCGCAGACAGGAAAGAGCATGGATAGAGAGGAATTTGCTGCGTTTAGGGGATTTGCAGCTGAGGATGTTCTCCTGTGGAAACTAAACTAAGCACCAGTAGCCCACTGACTGTTCGCCCTTCCACTCTCCGAAATTTGTTGTTACTTGTTTCAAACCCGACCAGGACGTCGGGATTCCGTGATCAATTATGGGGAAAGAAGAATGCAAAACAATGCTGGACGCTTTGAACAAAGTGACCGCCTGCTACAGACACCTGGTCATCGCTCTGGGGAGCACCTCGGACTCCCAGAACCTGCGGGAGGAGCTGAAGAGAACTCGCAAAAAGGCCCAGGAGCTGGCCGTGGCCAACAGGACCAAGCTGACGTCGCTGCTGAAAGACAAGAGCATCAGCAAAGACGACCGGGCCGAGTACGAGCGGCTGTGGGTGCTGTTCTCCAGCAGCATGGAGCTCCTGGAGGTGGACATGAAGCGCTCCCTGGAGATAGGGCAGGATTTCCCTCTCAAGGTTCCGACCAGGCACCTGATCCAGACCGGCATGACCGGCGGCACCACCGCCGTGGCCGCCCGGGCCATGAGCGTGCAGAACATGAAATACGAGGCGGACAGCAACATCGACACGGCGGATCTCAGGGACCTGCAGAGCGAGATCTCCCAGGTGAGCCACATGATGGAGGAGATGGAGCTGAAGGTGCAGGTGGCGCCGTGGGCTGTGGAGGCGAAGCAGGAAGCGGGAGCGGAGCTCAAGTCCAACATGAGTGTGGGCAACTCCTCCGTGGGGGTCATCTCCATCTGCGAGGAGGAGCCCAAGGAAGAGGAGGGTGGCGGCGGCAGGGACACGGGCTTCGCGTCGATCTGCGCCGTGGTGGTCTTTTTTGTCATAGTGACAGTGGCTGTGGTTCTTGGATATTTGGTTGTCAACATGTCCTGAATCCTGCACGCCACTCATAAACAACCCCCACTGGTGAACACCCTCTGGGTCTGCCCGCTGTGGCGGCGCCTGCGTGGAGCCTCAGGTCAGACAGAAGGAGGAGAGAGAATGACCTTTTTAAAGACATGCTGTTTATATTTCTCGGATCTGTTCAAATAAATGATGGAGTCGAAGAGTTTGCACTAGATTATAATGTAGAGTCAGCAGAACAGAAAGACTGGACCGAGCACCGAAAAGTATTCTGTGGGACGAGACCACTTTTTTTTCTTTTTTTTTTTATAGAGCACGTGGGTGGAAGATGTGACGTTAAATGACGGCGTGTGTCCATCAGGATGATGTGAACAACACTTAATCCACGTGGATTAGGGGAGAAGATCAAGTATAAATGTAGCCTACTGTTAAGCATTCCACTTAAAATGACTGATGCTATGAATTTGGGATTTTATGCCGGAACGGTCAGAGTGTTCTCAGAACCACAGAGGTTCCAGCAGAACTGGTGTCATAACATTTCACATGTTACACAACTGGACTACATTAAAAAACACAATCAAAAACTGTACAGTGAGGTTTTAGAGAAAGACCGGTCTTTTTACTGGATCCAGTAAAAGCAAAGTTCAAACCAAGAGCCTGTGGGACCTGAAAAAAACAACAAAAAACCAAACAGTTTATGTTCCTATGCAGGAGTTTTCCTTGCGCTCTGAATGTATTCTGTGAACTGTGAGGATTGTGTACAATCTACAGCTGTGTCAGGAAATGTACATATATACCGTTGAGTATATTTATTATAATAAAATGTTGAAATCCTGCTGGAAGTTTGAAGAAATAATTCAAGGGTTTGAAGTGTTGGTACGTTTGGTTCTGACCCAGAGCTCACGTTGGTTTAACAACCTCCAAGATAAGAGGATTATAATTAACGACCCCTAAGGTTAAAGTAGTGTTTTAAAATGGAGGTGAAACTATCAAAAACACTTTAACCCTTTAATGGTTTTAGTGAAGCCCCCCCTGTGGGTAATCCCTGCTGGTGCAGGTGCTGCTTCAGTGACAGTTCAAATGTCCTGCTCTGTGACACAAATGCACGTTTATATGAAGCTGTTTTATCATCTAAATGTCCTGCTCTGTGACACAAATGCATGTTTATATGAAGCTGTTTTTTTTATCATCTCACAAATGCACGTTTATATGAAGCTGTTTTTTTATCATCTCAATATATATATACATAAAAACAAAGACTGCTGGGGTTGACTCGTAGTTCCTGTTTCTTCAACTGTAATGACAGATGTAATTGTCAGCAGTTAACCATCAGATGAGCCGGGCATTGACTCTTAATTTCACACCCTGATTCTAAGGCAGGTTTTCCTATAATTCTATCAGGTAAACACAGCCCAGGCATCTCCAGGCCATTAGGCCTCAGTTACTGGCAGTGGAAGTAAATCTCACAGGATCAAATGTGATTACAGCTACTGTCTTCTTCCTCTGAGCGCAGACTGGACTTTAGTAGTGGACAGTGGTGGATTCCCAGCAGCCCAGATAATAATAAAAATATAAATTAAATCATTGTCATCATTATATGTGATAAATATTTTGAATGTGGCCAAAAAATGCTACAAACATAAAATCTCTCCACTGGAAAAAAAAAAAGCCCAAACACTGCAATCACTCAGCTGAGAAACTCTTTTGTCAGGACTGATGTCGCTATGATCTTATATATTATATCTATTCACAAGTGAATTCTCTTTACAGACTTCCTGGTTTCCCACATCCTTGGTGCTTATTTGTCCATGTACCATGTGTATTTGAGGGCTGGGTTGTAGACAAGAGCCTGGATGCAGGTGATGATGATGATGATGATGATGATGATGTAATATTTAACCAGGCTGGCAGGCATTACTGACCTAATTCCACTATAATTTTTGCATAATAATTTATTCTTTTTTTTTCCATTTATATTGATAATTTTAAAACAGTGAAGGAAACATTTGGGGGGAAATTAAATATTGTCCCTAAGTGTTTAGATCTGTCCCAAATCAATGGTATTTGAACATTTCCTGTGTGAGTGAAAAATCAAACAAAACATGTGGATCAGTGAGAGGACTCTCTCTCTCTCTCTCTCTACACACACACACACACACACACACACGGCGGAGACAAACCGGTGCATCACATCAGCACCTCATCTGGACCCAGGTAAACGTAGTTCCTAGGCTGTGAGTTGCCATAGAAACCCTCAACAGACCCTCAATCGTGAGCAGTACGGAGGATTGAGCTGTGTTCATCGCAACTCAGGCCCTTTCTGACACCAACATCCCACACACACACACACACACACAGAGGACTGTTTAAAGCTAATCAGCTGCGGTAAAACTTGCATTTATTTCTAATTATTGATTGATTCTACAAACCACATTCACCTCAGAATGTTGTTTAATAACAGCACAATAACAATCACAGCCTTTTTTTCCCCCAAACATTTTGTACAATTAATATTAATTTAATGCACGGAAAACACTATTTTAATTAAAAATAAATATATCTTTTCTTCAAATATTTTTGACCACATGAAAAATGATAAATAGAAATATAAATTTCTTACCTTTACAGCATGAAGGTATGCTAATGTGGTGGCTCTAGCTTACATGTCTAAATAAACTATATTTGAATTATCATGAAGCCAGATCAGCACGGCTTAAAGGCAAATGAATAAATGAATAGTGATCAGGAAAACGTTAAAAATTATCCTATATATATATATATATATATATATATATATATATATGTAGCTTTAGCATAAACGTAAATGTGATTTATCTTTATTTTTCTTCATGTAAATAATGCATTGTTTTATAAATGACAATGGAAAAAAATCCCATTGTGTTATTGATTTCTTCTAATGAGTTACTCATTTGCCACAGAGCTCTGAGCAGGACAGGCTCCCAGAGGAGAACAGTATGATATCCTGCAGAGAACCAACACAGACACCTGTGTGCTGCAGGTCCTGCCCGGGTTCGTTGGTAAACAACCAGGGTGTGGAGCCGTATGGCTTCGGATAGATTATTCTGATTTCGATTTAATTGGTCTGGTTGCCATGGTGATGTGTAGGGCTTCGATCACGTGGGTCGGGTACGTATGTGCTGATCACATGTACTCCAGAAGAAGAACAGAGGGCGAGACAGATTGTCGTGATTGTTGTTGACCGTGTTTGTTTGATCACTTTGTTAAAGTCGAGGCGTAAAACAAATCTCGAACGCCTGTATCGTCCCTGGATGCTGCGAGGTGGAAAATGGCGTGCGGGACAATTATTCACGCGCTCATTTCTCAACCCGGTTCCAGGGGCACTTCACAGTAGTAAAACAAACTGTGCACGTCACCATTTTTACACCTGAAGCCTAATTGGACGCGGTTTGTTTGGGTGAACTGTAGCGCGTCGAACAAACCTACAGGACCGATCTCTGCCTCTCAAGGAACTTTCAAAGTCTGGGGAAATCGCAGCAAAGGTAATTTATGAAACAACAGGGAAATGACATGTGTGGCCGTAAGGTTTGTTACTATTAACATGAAAACATCAATGTTATCATTTTACAAAGTAACAGAAAAATATTGTTGTCAATGAAAGCAGCTTCAGTAAAGTCCAGGTCTGACACTTGACATGTTCTACAAACAACACTGCGACACAAACAAATATATGTTTATATACATATATAACTGACTCTGTCATGATAAGGCACTAAAACATGGACCGCGACCCCAGTCTGTGTCATTGTTACTCAAAACCATGGCATTAATAATAAATACTTCCCCAAAACTATAATATTTCAGAGCAAAGAGTTGGACCTAAAGTGACAAATAACCTCAGGTCTAACTTTACAGAAACATTTTCATGTTTTATCACATGAAAATGTATTTTTATAAACTTGTAGCTTCGTTGCTAATGCCAACTTTCTCAGCATTTAAGCTAACGTTTTTGTTCATTTACCGTCACTGCTGAGACTCAGAACATTAAAGATTATTTAATAATTATTATAAAATAAGTACAAACTTAGTACTATGTAGTTGAGGTATCTAAATATCATTTACTCTCCTGCTTTAACAGCAAAATAATTTTCTTGCACGCTACTTGCAGCAGCGTGTGCATGATATGCTTCTGTCATAACGTTTGAGTTTTGAAGCGAGTCAGAGTTTGCTCTGAGAGTCGAGGGTTGGTGGCACCATTACAGGCAGCACGTGGCTGTACTTGGGCTGGATGGTGACCTGTAAAGCGATATTATATGCATCAAACACCACCATGCGGTGCAAACCGGAGTTGTCTTCCTTCGGTCGAGGATCTTTACTCGCATCTACCTCAGTGTTTACTGAAACGTCGAGCGGGTAGAGTCTGTCGCCTGGAAACACAGAAGAAAAGATTTAAAAAGTTAGCAGGTGAGATGCACAGTTTAATTTAAAACTGGTTGAACCAGAACAGTGATTCAGGGCCCACGGTACTACATATGTTATCAACTGAAGATACCAGAGATATGTTGTCGATGAGAAGCTTAGTTGCTGTAAGAATTGGGCCCCAAAGGTCAAGAACCTTTGTTTTATTAGCTTAATTTGACAGCTTTACTAGTCGTACAAATGTAAGAGTTTGGTTGGGATAAATCAGTGTTGTTCTTCTAGGTTCTAGGTTCTTTGAGGTCGGATACAGACAGTTGTTGCACAGATCGTGAACTCCTGGGACCCATCTAAGGGTCGCGACCCAGTCTTTGGGAAACAATGGGTTAAATGACCCAATACACACCTGGCAGAATTGAGAGGTACTGGTCATCTTTGGTGCAAAGGACAGGCTGCCAGTGCTCACAGCCCTTTGTGCCCCGCCCGCTGGCAAAGACATGGAGGTCGTTCAGTAACGGGTAGCGACACAAGCGGCTTAACTCATAGAACTGAGGAGGTGGGAGCCAAAACTCTTGTTCTTGGAATCTCTGTAGGACATCTGTAGGTGTGGACCACTGAAAACACACACACACACAGATAGTGGGTGGGTTTAAGGTTTACTAACCACGGGGTTACTGCTTTGTTGATTCACTACAGTTTGTCTTGTAATTGGATCAAATTCCAATGTAACCAGAGAAAGTCTTACCTCATAGTGCACGATTTCCCTCTGGTCCTGCAGCGTTTCTGGCGTCTCCTGTAGGCAGCAGATGAAGAAAGCGGTGTCAAACCTGGCCCGGCCGTACTTTTCCACGGGAGTCAACCAGTTGCTCCATTCGTGTAAAGCCCAGATGTTGGGCAGCACCTCCAACTCTTTACACATCCGTATGAAGTTGGAGGGGTTTTGATTCACCAGAATCCTCCATTTGGTGAGATCACCACTGTCCAGAAGATTTGTTTTTAAGACCGGGGACTGACTTCCGGGAGAACTCTCCCCTTTCTGTTTCGACACCACCAGCAGCACGCCGGACTCTTCAAACGTCTCCCTCAGGGCGCAGATCCTGAACGCCACTTCACCTGGTACGGGAGACCCGAGCTTCAGTCGGTCGGTGGCGAAGATTGGAGGTCTGCTCGCTGCGACCTGTTCGACTTTTCTCAAACCGAAGTTTGGAGAGTTCCTGAAGGATGCAAAAACATCCAGCCATTCGCTCGAAAAATCCGACGCGTCCACAACACCCCCCGGGAACACGTATGCGCTGGGCATAAATCCGCTCTTTTTGCTCCTTTTGAGCAGCAGGACATTGTAATCGAATGCGGACCGGTTCGGCAGACGTGAGCCCGTGCTACTGTTTCCCAGCACCGGAGCTCCAGCGGCTGTTTCTCGCGCCCCTGACGACAGGCTACCCACTCTGGACCTGCTTCCTGCGGTTAAAATAAGAGTGGCCGCTTCCTTCCAGTGTTTCAGGCAGTTATTCATTGTACAATTCTGTCAAATATCCACGAACAATACCATATATGACTTCTGTCACTGCGCGTCCTTCTCTATTTCCGCCTGCTTGTTGTGAAGGAAGTCGTCACAGTCCGCTGCTCTTGTTCTGTTAATGCTGTTTTGAGCCTAGTGCCGTGTTGCTGCCCTCTACTGTTAATAAAACAAAATCACATTTTCTCCACTCAACATCTTTAAATACATTCGTAAAAAAAACTGCCTTTGTGACTATTTATTTGATTTTTGTTGTAATGAAAATTAATATACAGCGTTAAAACCACTTAAAGTTAAGGTTGAAGAGTTCTGTTAGGCAACTGGACGTGACATTTTTTTTCAAAGAAGACGTTTCACCTCTCATCCAAGAGGCTTCTTCAGTTCTAACTTTAACTACTTATTATATATATATATACACTAGGTTCTGGTTCCTATCATCGCCGACCCCAAAATAGAAAACCTCTACTCTGCCATCTTCATCCTGAGTGGACTTCTTCTCTCCCCTTTCTTTCATCTTAAGGTCAAATGTGTCCAGAAACTCTTCGGTAAGTTCAAGATTAAAAAATCAAATTTAAGATTTGGGAAACAGGTTGAACTGAAACACAGTGTCATGTCGCGCTGACCCTACA